GTAGCGTGGGTTGTCAGCACCCGGGGCAAGGCAAGTAATTTGCGCCCCCTAACCCGTGGATTTGCGCCCCCTAACCCGTGGATTTGCGCCCCCTGTGGATTTGCCCTAACCCCAGATGTTGCGCCCAGTGCGGCCGGCCCCCCTGCACCCCCCACGCTACGCCACTGGAGGTATGCTAGTGAGGTGGTGCTTACCCCCATCAGAAATGCCTTGGCATACCAGTGGAAAGCATAGATGTTCCACCAGTGGCTCAGAGGGAAACAGGGTGTGTAGTGGCAGGTATGGATGAAGCCAAACCTAAAGCCTCTTCACTTCCCCAACACACCCACAGAAACAGAACAACTCTGTGCCAGCCTTGGGACTGGTGTATTTAACTCCTTCCTACTGAAGTAAATGGAAGGGAAGAAGAAAAGACTGAACTCCACACTTCCCACCTCATCTACAGATGCACAGCAGGGCAATGGATGTTCTGCAGGCAGATCTGCAAGCTACACACACACACGGCATTTTAAGTTTTGTGTTCTGTGTGTATTGATGGAATTGATCTGCAATGTGTGTTTGAATATACAAATGTAGCAAGGACTTGGGTATCTCTCTCAAAGTATGTTTTTAATGTGAAGACGAAATCGTTAAGCAGCTCAAGGTTCTGAAAACTTCCTATGAAATGCTCACATTCCGTGCTGAATTAGCCACAGCCTGATCATAGGCAATTTCACTCTTGTTTTTAGTTGTAAATGTTCAGTAGATTGAAGAGTGTAACATATGTCATTCTAAGTGGTATAATATTCAGTATATCATTTTGAAAATTAGGTGAACAACGTGTATCTTTGTATATGAAATAGCAACATGCAATATGTAAAAAAGAAAACATTTTCAGCTTCTTTTAAAAAAATCTGCTTTATGAATCAACCTTCAGAATCATGATGGCAACTTTTTGTTCTACTATTACTGGTCATTTGTTTCACAGTGTTTTTATTATGCTTTATGTAAGTATTGACCCACAAATACTGGCATCTGTTTCACTTTGAAATTACTTTAAAACAAACATTTTGGGAACAGAGCGATTATCACTATGCTTGACTTTTTAAAAGGTGGTGTTTCACTCGGAGGTTGGTTTCTACATCAGTTTGCACTGCTCAAGAGAGTAATATTCAGTTTGTCTTGCATGATAATTTTTCTACTAAAAGGCATGATTGTATAGCCAAAAAAATGCTTATACAGCCCTATTGTGAAACTTAATATATATGTGGACCACCAACCTATACATATTGCAGCGGGGTGATTTTAATTTAGACAGAAAGGTCTCTGCTTTTTGCAATACTTCCTGAACATACGCAAATGGCACCATTCATCTGAAATTATCTCTTATGCAACTGTTAATTGTAACGTGTCTAACATCTGAGTACCATGAAAAATTGCCATGGGAGAATGTGCATGGGAGCCATTTCATCCTTTTCTTTTAGAGATGCATACTTTTCTAATTTCTTCATCAAGGTGTCTTCCATGTTCATAGCTTTTACTTGCATCCATGAAAGTTCTTTGGCATCAGTGATCCTCATTGTTTATTAAAGGGACCTAACCCTTAATTAAGACTCAATGGCGAGTCCCAATTCTGGTGACCCACTGGTAGGACCTGACTGGCTGCGCAGTGTGTGTATGCATGCTGATCCCAGGAATATTTTTGAGATGCCGGGGCAGAGGCGGGAGCTCAAGATGCCCAGGACATGATTAGTGTTCCTGCTTTCCAGGTGTGTTTTTACATTTGCTAATTTAATAGTCATATAATAATGTAACAACTTTCACATTCAATATTGTTGAATGAGATTATCACAATTATTCATAGATTTGATTGTTTTTAAGAAGTAGTAGTAATTGATCAGAGTAAAAAATATATTATACTTCTAGAATATTGATCAGTCTTGACAACTGTGCCACTTTAGAACATCAAAAGAACCCACCTGGATCAGAACAAAAGCCTATCTAGTCCAGCATCCTGTTCTCACTGTGGCCAACCAGATGCCAATGGAAAGGAAGCAGAATCAGATTGCACTGGCACTCTCCCCACCTGTGATTCTTAGTGTTTATTGCCTGATCATCCATGTATGTGTGTCAGCCTTTCCGCATCTATGCCATTGTGTGTGTACACTGAAATAATTCATAGGCGGATTATTCATTTGATAGCCCATACAATCCAGTGATTAACCATTTACAGGGAATTGAAGGGCTTAAGTTTATTCAAATGAAATAATGCTGCTTCAAAAAACTAGAATAACATTGTGAACATCATGTAGTTTGTTGGTGAAATACTGGTAAAATTAGAGGCTTAGGAGAAAAATTTTGTTTAGCCATAATCTCATTTAAGTTCTGAATTCTACATACATAGATGGATTATATCTGCAAATTATATCTATCTGTCATCTATCTATCTATCTATCTATCTATCTATTTATCATCTATCTATCTATCTATCTATCTATCTATCTATCATCTCTCTCTCTCTCTCTCTCTGTGTGTGTGTGTGTGTGTATATAAAATTTATGGATATAGTTGTAGTTTCTTTTAGACTCTTGTATTTACAATTTTACTGGAATATGGAAGTACTGAGATTAAAAGCACATCTCAAGTTGCTTTCAGCTCTTTGAAGCAGTTATAGCATTTCACAACAATAATATGGTCACCACAAGGACATTGGGGCACAGCATTGCATTCATAGAAACAGCGGATTGTGATGTGCTGGGTAATGTTTTTGTATAGAGATATGAGAAGATAATGAGACATGCATTAGAGTGCTGGAAACAGAACTGAATAAACATCTGCAAACATTATTAGGATTTACTTCAGCACCTGTTGGATTGGGGTAGGTTGGCCCTCAATTAAAGCAAGGATATCTGTTTTTATTGTTTAGATTCCATAAATGAATGTACAAGATGTCAAATATGTGGCCAGTAAAAAAGGTATACTTGTCTTCAAGTCATATGGGAAATTGTGATGGTATGATTCCTAACCCTTTACAAGTATATAATTTGCCCAAAGTATTTGGGGACTGCCTAGGTAAAAAGCTAAGATACAGGCTTTCTGTAGGTCAAGCAGGAGGTGATATGACATTGCTACAACAATCAACCATTTCCTGCTGGTGTTGCCCTTTTAAAATGACCACCAGAGACCCAAATATCTTGAAGGCTTGCAATTCCTTCCTTCGCTGAAGAACACCTACAGACTATGCCATCTGCCATGTTATATGGCAGATTTAAATGGGTTCCTGTATTCCACAAAACTCTGTAATCTGAATCAAACAGAGAATATAATTATGTTCTGAAACATTCCTTGTTTGACAGGCTAAGGAGAAAACTCTTGCTTAAATCACCAACCTGTTCTAACCCAGAGATTATGTGCTTCTTACTGGAAGACCCCTACCCTTTTTGTGACTTACAGAACAGCCTTGTTTGCTTTAAGGAAACTAGGAGAAACAAATGAAGTATCAGGGTAGATGGGGGCTTCTTGACATAATAACTGATTTTTTTTTATTTCTGTTAGTATTTTATTGTACCTGTAAAATAATTATTTTATTTAGAATTTTTAAGATCAGCAAATTATATATAATAGATGGCATTCTAACTTTAGTAACAGGGATTTTATCTTAAAACTGTCAAGGTCAATAGCAAGTATTGATGGAGGAATATTTGCAGCCAGAGTTCATGAAGAGGATTAACCTATACTTAGCAGATGCTTTACAACAAATTGTGACAAACCTACCATACAGCTAGATTTGTAACTTGACACATTAAAGTTCTGTTTGAAAGCCAATGGAACCCAAATGAACAGAGTGACTATTTGCTGCAGGTATACATGAAATTACATCTACATTGCCAGTGACATGCTCAGATGGGGAGACATTTTATCACATATTATGGAATACCCTTTTCACATGCCTGTCATCAAAAGAAAAAAAAATTGATTTGCAAAAAAAAAAAAAAGAATAATCTATTTACCTGTTGTTATCCCTTCATTTGTGGAAATGCATATTAAGCACATATGTTTTCTGGTGTTTATATTTGCTTTTTGTTGTTAAGTTTTCAACTGAAAGAAGAAAAGCACCTGTTTAGGTGTTCAGCTAACCTGTGATCTCGTCTTGTGTTCTGCTGCTGATCAGATTCAAGGGAATCATTACCAGTACAGAGGAAGATCTCTTTCCCTTCTCCCATGCTGAGACGGCAACACCCATCACCAAAAACCCATGCAGGGCATAACCCTTACTGGGAGTGGGGAACAAACAGAGAGCGATGCAGAGCAGGCAGGTGGATGTATGCTGGATGCTGAACATCTCCTGTGCCTGCTGCCTTGAAGTGGACTCCAGTGGAGGCTTGTAGCAATGATTCGTGGTAGAATATGATAGCCTACCAGCAAGCTTGCCACTGAGCAACATAGATACCAGCTGGGGGTGGGGATAGAATATGAATGTTTAGGAACATTGATGAAATTAATTTCAGCCAATCGTTTTCAAGCTTTCTATCTTCTAGAAATATTACGTGCATCATGGTTTCCACTATAGCTTATGGCAATCCTGTGCATTGCCAAAATTCCCGGGTATGTATCATATTATTCATGCGGGGCACTGACTGCCTGTTGGGCATCACAGTTGTACCACAAAATAGAGAGAGTATCTTTTACCATACACAACACCGTGGTCATGCTTTTTAGGTCAAGATTAGTACTGGTGGGCAAGCAATTTTTTAAGGGAAGCTTGCTGACCACTATTGAACTGAGGGATTGAGGAATCTCAGATAAACTTCCAAGGAGCCCCAGAGTTCAGTGGGACACAGATTGAAACGGTCTAGGTTATTGACTTATATAAGTTATATTCAATTCAGTGGAACTTATTCCCAGGTAAGTGCATAGAATTTCAGCTTCAGTCCAGCCGCAGTGATGTGAATGATCACAACATTTTGCTACTTCCAACTTGTTACTACTGCTGCTACTACTGTTGTCCTGTTTTCTTTTAGAGACGGGCAGCAAGAAGCTAAAAAGCACGATACAGAGAAGCACAGAAACTGGTATGGCAGCAGAAATGAGAAGCCGTATGGTCCGGCAGCCAAGTCGGGAATCGACTGACGGCAGCATCAACAGTTACAGCTCAGAAGGAAAGTAAGTAGATGCTTGCTATAACCAGAGCCATTCCTGCCAGCCATTGGGCAAATATCTTTGCTGGCGGCAGGTCTCCACTAGAGGGTACCAAATGGTCAGTCATTGAGCAGGCCTTCTACTGTTGAGGTTGCAACCAAGAGGTTGCCGCAGGGATAGACAAGTTGTTGAAAAGGTAATGGGGGGGGGAGGAAAGGAAAGTAGAATTAGCAGCAGTAATGCCCAGATAGATCAGAAGGGAACAAAATGGTGGCAACGCTTATTTATTTCTAGTAAGAGACTGTCCATTGTTTACAGTTGTGTATGTAGACCCAGAATACACTGCATTCAACTAAACATTTTAGCTTCAGCTGGAAAGGAATGTGCTGGTACTCCTTGCCCCTAAGTTCTGTACCGATATCATGACATGCTTCTGAGGAGCTGCTAAAATTAATAAGTTCAAGGTTCAAGAATATTGCATGTGTGTGATTTTGTTTCTCATTTAATTTGCCAGTTACATATTCTGCTGGGCTGTGTGTTTGGTAAAGCAGGACTGTGTCAAAATAATAAGTCACAAAAATCTGTTGTTCTGCTATGCTTGTCTTGCCACAGCCTAATATTTCCTGGAGTCCGACTCGGTGCTGACAGTCAATTCAGTGATTTCCTTGATGGACTTGGACCTGCGCAGCTAGTAGGTCGACAAACTTTAGCCACTCCTGCCATGGGTAAGATCAGCTTTGTTTTTTGTTCATAAGAATATACACCACTTAGCGAGCTCTTTGATTAAATGGTTTATAAATCTTTCTGAATAAATAAAAATAAGGTGTAAACACACATCAGTTTAAGGTGGATTCAGTACATACCAAGTGCGCATAATTTCACAACATCCACATGGAATCATAGAAATGTAGAGTTGGAAGGGAGCCCATCCACCCTGACCACTGGCCATACTAGCAGGGACTAATGAGAAAGATAAAATAACAAAGATACTGTTAAGGGCAAAGAGTTTGCATGTAAATATTTTTATTACATCCAAATCTAGTGAAACAGTTTAAAAACCTGTCCCAGTTTCACCCCTTCATTATCTGCTAAATAACTGCCATTATACTGTGAGGGAACAATGATACCTATTTCCTAAAGAATACCGAACATTGCAGATGTTCTGGGTATTAGCATTTGAGAGACCTGGGGTCGGCTGACTTTACCTCAGTATGTTACTGTGGGTTATATTCTTGAAGTTTTGACCCTGGAATACCACCTAATTACATAGAAGGGAACACATCAATACTTTATTGATGAGCCAGTGTGGTGTAGTGGTTAAGAGCGGTAGACTCGTAATCTGGTGAACCGGGTTTGATTCCCCGCTCCTCCACATGCAACTCCTGGGTGACCTTGGGCTAGTCAGACTTCTTTGAAGTCTCTCAGCCCCAGTCACCTCACAGAGTGTTTGTTGTGGGGGAGGAAGGGAAAGGAGAATGTTAGCCGCTTTGAGATTCCTTCGGGTAGTGATAAAGCGGGATATCAAATCCAAACTCTTCAAACTCTTCTTTATTCAAACTGATACTGCTGTTTTGAGTTCCTTTTATCACTCTGTCACAGACTGCTTCTCCAACTTGTTCAGCCATTCTAGGTTTCACTTTCTCCTTCATTTCTTTTTATATCTAATCCATTTCAAACATTTTTATTTCATCCTTCAGCAAGTTTTCAAGCTGATGAACGCAAAAAAATTTTTTTCCCCTTCTTCTTAACATGGCTTGGATCCAGAGTTGCACTTCCACAAACAGAAGGGCCTTTGAGCCTGTGATTTTTGGTAATAAAAGGTGGAAATTTTGCCAGTTCCCTCTTTCCACCATCCCCCAGAACCTCCCATGCAGAGGATCCTCCAGCCGCCCAGAGGAGATTTTTAGGGAACACAAGGGGCTCCTTTCTTAGAGAGTGCAGAGAGAAAGGGAAATCGGCAAAAATTACCTTCCCTCCTTACCCATTTCCATCAGCAGAACGCCACTCAAGGAATCTCTGGGTCCACCCCTTTCACCTTAAAATTGTGATTAAGCAGGGAAACAGAAATAAACCGACTTACATACAGGAATAAAACGTCTCTCAGCCCCACTCACCTCACAGAGTGTTTGTTGTGGGGGAGGAAGGGAAAGGAGAATGTTAGCCGCTTTGAGACTCCTTTGGGTAGTGATAAAGCAGGATATCAAATCCAAACTCCTCCTTCTCCTCCTCTTCTTCTTCTTCTAATTCCAACATCCACTAAAAGAGAATAAAATGGTGTTCACCTGGTGCTTAAAGCCCATCAAAGTAAGTGTCAGCCAGTGTCCCAGGCAGAGTATTCTACAATGAGAATATCACCACTGAAAAGTCCCCATCTCTAGCAATCCCCTGCTTTTCATTCAAATGTAGGGCCACCCAGAGCAGGGGCTCCCTCTGACGGGAGTCTTACTAAATAGACTACCTCATGTGAGTTCTTTTAAAACTCAGCAGGTCTCTCTCATTCATTCAGATAGATATACAATCATACCTTGGTTTTTGAACAGTTCTCGAACGCCACAAATCCAGAAGTGACAGTTCAGGTTTGCGAACTATTTTTGGAAGCCGAATGTCCAAAGGGGCTTCCACGACTTCTGATTGGCTGCAGGAGCTTCCTGCAGCCAAGCAGAAGCCACACTTTGGTTTCCAAATGTTTTGGAAGTCGAACGGACTTCCGGAATGGATTCCAATCTACTTCCAAGGTACGACTATACTCCAGTCAAAATAATAATAGATATACTCTGATCAACCAGCTAAATAAAGTGTGTTATATAAGTCTATTTGGCTGCTTATAACTTCTTATAAACCAAATATAAGATTACATATGAGATCACATTTAACCTACTGATTTTCAGCCAATGCTTAGGCAGGGAAACAGATCAAGGGACTTCCTTGGGTGATGTCTTATTTCCACCCATTCACTGAAGTTTCTAACCTAGAAAACCAACACAGACATTTCCCCCTTTAAAGAGAAACATTTTAGAAGGCTTCTATTATACCTGAGATACATCTGAGATATTACCTCTTATCTAGATGGGAAAGGTCTATACAGTAATACCCTCTGCTGATGCCTGGTAAGCGCCAAAGACTGGATCTGAAGAAATACCATGTGTACTATTTTATGGGATGTGGTTGCAGAATCATTCCTATGAACTGATTTTACCTATTTTTTCCTGAAGCAGGGTATTAATAGGAGAGGATAATAAAAAAAAATCCAGCTGATACTGTAGATGTTTTAACTAGCCAGCACAAGACCTGGGAAAACTGCACTACTAGGGGATGGGGGGCAGTGTTACCCAAGGCACTTAAATATAACAATCCAGAGAGAAAATCCTTGTTGAAGTTTCCTAAACAAAACAGTATGTAACTTGAGCAGCAAGAAACAGAGGGTTGTTGTTTTTTTATCCTAAATGGTGTCCCACACATCATCCACTGATGTTATTCCACTGGGTTATTTAGTTTAAAATGCAATGGGGGGGGAGAATCTAAAATGAAGCATTATCAATAAACTGGTAAATTATAGGAAGACCAGGATGAAAATTTTAATATAGGAACAAACAGTGAAAATTCAGGAGGGAGCGTAAGGCTTATTTACCCTTCTGTGAGTCATTAGAAGATTGTTGTTTTGCTAGTTAATAAGACACTCTCACACACCTGATTCTCTTTTAGGTGATATTCAGATTGGAATGGTGGATAAGAAAGGCCAGTTGGAAGTAGAAGTTATTAGAGCCCGAGGCCTGACACAAAAGCCTGGTTCTAAATCTACCCCAGGTAAGAAAAGTTGTACATGGCGATGGACAAGAGATGTGAAAGTGTGCAGTAATTTGGCTTGTTCAGATGATGTAAGGGTTTTCATAGCCTGGAATGCATGTACTTTTAACCTTGTGTTATATTTCCTCGTCAGCCACAGGCATTTCTTGAAAAGTAAAAGCAGCTACCATATGGCACAGATACCTTGTACTGCTGCAGGTCTCACCTTACGTTCTGGGAAGCAAGAGCCAAACTGGGATGGGTGGATAGGTTAAGGGTTCAAATCTGTTGTTTAGATATCACAAATGGGTTGTTGGCAAAATAATAATAATAATAATAATAATAATAATAATAATAATAGTCTTACCACAGAGAGGGTAAATCTGGATTCAGCGGAGGGAAATTTGGTCTGGCATTTAGATGCCAGTGACATTATGTGGATACTGCAAAAAACCTGCATACATGAGCACTAATCCCATAATAAACAACCATCTGGGAGTAAGCCCAGCTTGCCCCAGAGTACATGTGGCTGGGAAAGGTCACGTGAATCCTGTATAACCAGCTCCCTAAAAAAAAGTTCCATGTGGCATATATTTGTGACATCCAAGAAAAAAATGGAGGCAGCGACAACAAGGAGTTTATGGGAATTATGCTACTGATACCCAGTTCTATTTCTCTATGACATCTAATTAAGAAAGGGCATCCAAGACCTGGACTTGGTGAGGGGCCACAAACTGCACTACTAGGGGATCTTAACAAGATGGAGACACTGTGGGTGGCAGCTCCCAAGTCCAGATGGTCCATTGCCTGCTTTGGATGGGGTTGTCCTCCCCCTGAAAGAGCAGGTTCATAGTCTAGTGCAGAGCTTTCCAAACTGTGTGTTGCGAGACGTTAGTGTGTTGGCGTGTCGCACAAACGCTCCCCGCTCTCCTCCCAGGGCTGGAAAGGGGTTAGTTTAACCTCTGGTTTACTAGTAAAATTGAATTCCTGTGTCGCGAGATGATGCATGTCTAAAACATGTGTCACCAACATGAAAAGTTTGGAAAGCTGTGGTCTAGTGGGTGGCCCTCTTGTCACTTAGGGGCCTTCTACCAGCTTCGACTGCTGTGACCTGAATAGCCTGGCCACTGTCGTCTATGCACTCATAACCTTCAGATTTAATTGGTACAATACGTTCTATGTGGGACTGCCCTTGAGGTTGACCAGGAAGTTTCAGCGAATGCAAAATGCAGTAGCTGAACTGCTCACTGTGGCAGAATATTGCCATCACCACTGCTGAAAGAATTACTCTGGCTGCGTATTAGCTACTGGGGTAAATTCAGGGTGCCGGTACTGGTTTATAAAGTTGTTTACTGCTTGGGGCCTGAATACCTACAAGAGTATTTCATTCCTTATATGACCAGCTTTTCAGGAGAGGGCACCCCACAGATACCAACATTTCAGGAGGTGCATTCCATACAATGCCAGAATCAGGCCTTTGCGTGTTGAGTCCCACAATTGCCACCCCCCAAAAATTCACACTTCACACATCAATTTTTGTTTAGGTTTTTGGCATAATTTTTGGCCACAACTTTATTAAAATACAAAAAATGTGAGTGGTTGCTTAGGCATTGGTTATGACTATCTGTCCATGCCCTCAGGGACAGAGCTGGCATTCCGTACACCAACGGAATCCAGTGTGGGAAACAAGTATTGGGTGAGAAAGTGAAGCTGGGCATCCGTCCCTCACTTCTCACCCTCTTGTTCCTGTGGGGCTTGCACGGCCCAAGTCCGATGCCAGGGACAAGGACGAAAAGAATGGCAAGCCCCTGGATTCCTTTAACGGAATTCCCTTCGCATCATTTGGAGGGGTAGGCACTTACCCCTCCAAGAACCAATTGAACCAATGCCTAACCGCCAACCTTACAAGTTGTGACGATTTGCTACGCAGTAGGCAAAAACCAAATGGCACCAGCCAATCAGCCAAATGGCAAAATTCCTACCAGGCCCCCGCACCAAGGCGGACGACCCCATGACAGGCATAGCAAGGTCAAGCGATCAAGAAAACCACCCTATTAAAGGGAGGGAGGGCGGGTGATCCGATGCAAAACGGCCAAGAGGAAGTCCAACGTCTGGCCCCTATATTTAAAGCCTCTGACCCCTCCTCCAAATTTAGCAACAAACAAAACTCCCCATCAACCCAATCTTAACCCCTTAGGAGGCTTGGGTTTCTCACAAATCTGCCTAGTCATGGAAAGGTGGCTTGTTTCCCCAACCGCAACACGTGCTCTCTGTTAAGGAGAACACGCTTTAGCGTACCCTTTTGAATTCCTTCCCATTGCATACCAGACAGGCACCATCTCACTTGTCTTTTTGGTTCCTGTTGTAGATATTCCACTTTCAACAAACCTTCTATTTGCAGGTTTTCATCCCGGGGCGGAGGAAGGGGGGGGTGCGGTGGGTGTGGTCCGCCCTGGGTGTCACCACTGAGGGGGGTGACAAAATGCTGGGTGGCACTCACCGTGGGGCCTGCAGTGCACCCGAGCCACACGTCTCTCCTGGCAGAGATGCAATGGCTTGGGCACGTGCAGGCTCTGCACTGCTCAAACGGTCCGCCCGCTGCCTCCCCCCCCCCCAGCTGTAGGGTGGCTGAGTGGGAGGAGGCAGGCAGACTCCTGAGGCCCCACAGTGCACCCCACACCTATGGGCAGCTCACCCTGCCCCTGAGCGCACCGCCCCAGGAGCCCGAGCGGCTTCCTCTGCCACTGTTTCCTCCAGTTGGTATCTGTATTAGATTTGAAATCAACTTTACACATGACATTTTAAAACTCTTATGTATGCAATTGGTTGTGTTTTGTTTTGTTTTTAAGTGATTTTAGGTTTTTAAGCCTTTGAAACTGAAAGCAGGAGCAGATTTCAAAGAATTCACATTGCATTGTGACTACAGTAAAGTCTTTGGACTCTGCATCACTAAGAGGTTTGCAGGACTAAAAGAAAACAAACAAGAAAAGAGTTTCTTAGTTGGTGCAGCCAACTTTAGATAAGTCAATAAGATGTAATTTTCCTAGCTTGGAGCACAAAAACTCTAACAGAACCACTGGGATAATGAAAACTACTATTTTCAGCCACCTCTCTGGGGAAAACATTTCATTTTTCAGCTCAGTTCTTCTGTGCTAATGCAATAAACACCCATAAGAAGACCTTCACCTACATATTCCTTCTTCTATAAATAGTTGCAATTTTTTATTGTGGTGTTGTTGTTGTTTTAAGTACTGCGCATTTCAAACAAATAAGGAATGGGAAACCTCTACCAAGACAGTTTCTGTGGTCATTCCTGGGTTATGGCTCAGGAAAGGATTCCTGTGCATTTATAAATCAGAAAAAGAAGGGGGGAAATGGCTTTCTCCTCCCCCCAAAAAGATGTCCCTCTCTTCATTTCCCTCACCCTTCTGTTTGCTATTAAAAGAAAAACCAGTAATGTTTCTTTCAGGGTTTCTTTCTTTATGTTTTTCTTATTAGTTTAAATGATTAAAAACCAATATTACTTGTACTTCATAGCTCCATATGTCAAAGTTTATCTGTTGGAAAATGGGGCTTGTGTAGCCAAGAAGAAGACAAGGATTGCAAGGAAAACCCTTGATCCTTTATACCAACAGACACTGGTTTTTGAGGAAAGTCCACATGGCAAAGTCCTTCAGGTCAGTAATTATTTCAGCTCATTTCAGCCTCCGATTAACATCCATAGTATGAAAGCAACTGAAATTCAAATGCTCTGACATAGCCAGGATTTTGTTCAATTTACCATCTCTTGCAATAATATTACTAATTGCCTCCTGTTTCCCCTCTGAAAAATATACCCTTTTCCACAAGTGTTTTCATGAGAATATTGTTACAGCTACTGAAAGGCCATCCTTTGTTATGTTAATACCCTGAGATGATCAGCTGAAGTTTCATTAGTGACATGAGATTTTTCTCTTGAATGTTACCAATCTCTCTCCAGCTTTTGGAATGCGAAACCCATTGGAATTTGGGGGACACACCTCCAGCTAAGGAGAGCAGAAAGAAAGAGGCAAACGGTGTGGTGCCAGCGTGGTGTAGTGGTTAAGAGCAGTGGACTCATAATCTGGTGAACTGGGTTCAATTCCCTACTCCTCCACATGCAGCTGCTGGGTGACCTTGGGCTACTCACACTTCTCTGAAGTCTCTCAGCCTCACTCACTTCACAGTTTGTTTGTTGTGGGGGAGGAAGGGAAAAGTGATTTTTAGCTGTTTTGAGACTCTTTAGGGTAGTGATAAAGTGGGATATCAAATCCAAGCTCTTCTTCTATTATGAGTTGGCTGAAGCTGTGGCATCGCTGGAGGTTTGTTTGGGGACGAGATGCAGGATTAGCAATGATGCCTTCAGTTTAAAGGAGTGCAGTTGCTCTTACTGTGGACTGCCTGTATATGTGTAAATACAGAAACCATCACAATGATAATGTGAGTCCCTAGTGCTCACCAATCCAAGTGAAACCGAACGTGGTAGTGCTGCTCCTGGAACATCTCACTACCTGGAACTGGAGAGCATGCAACAAGTGCATTTATTTGGGTGTATTGATTTTGTTTGTTGTCCTTACTTGCAGGTGATAGTCTGGGGAGACTACGGCCGAATGGATCACAAATGTTTCATGGGAGTAGCACAGATCCTGCTGGAAGAACTTGATTTGTCCAGTGTGGTAATAGGCTGGTATAAATTATTTCCACCTTCCTCTTTGGTGGACCCAACGTTGACTCCTCTGACTCGCAGGGCTTCCCAGTCGTCTCTGGAAAGCTCAACTGGGCCTCCCTGCATTCGATCTTAGTGGACGCAACAGCAGGTGCTCTCCAACAAAGTCATTATCGCCCAGGATCACCAATGGGGGGTAACAGAGCTATTTACAACAATGAGGAGCATTTATTTATTTTTTTGAAAAGAGACAATCATCACTTCAGTTTTGCCTGTAGTAGTTTATCCAAAAAAAATATGTCTGTTTGTTATGAGGTTGGCTTCAATTTACTGAACAAATCAATGTACGAAAATACAGTCGATCCATCTAGCAAAATGTCCCTGAGGTTTATGATAATTATAATGAAGAGGGACCTTTAAGACTGAACTGGAACCGCTCGTTCTCTCCACGATTCCCATCCCCATCCCCACCCCCACCCCGAAACCACAAACAGTGTTAACTCCTTGCTCTCTTTCTGTATATGTTATTTCCACTTGGTTTTGCTGTGTTATTTATCCTGCCAGTTTTGTAAAGTCTTCATGATGCTAACAGAGACCCTTCCTTTCTTTTTCTAAACCAAACCAAAAAGGGCTGAAGCACATCTCTGTAAGCATCTCTAAAAGTGTTCACCTTCCAGAGTTATTGTACGATGCCAACAAAAACCCCACTATCCTTTCATTCTGGTTGTCCACCATCTTAACACGTGTGGAGAACCAGAGTAAAACCAACCAACTTTTAGTTCAGTTTTGCTTTATTAATGTTATTGTTATTAAGGAGTTTATCATAATTTTTCATTGTGAGGGGTGGTGGGGAAGTGAATATATTTGCATTATACATAATGGTTTTTGTATGTTTCATTAATACTTTGCATGAAGGAAATTTGCATCTGCAACTATTGCTGAAGACTTGATTAAAAAAAAGCAGCTGTGCTTTTTTCATTTTGACATTGACAATTATGTTTGTAAAGCGGTCGTCTTACTGGACCCAATGAGGAAAGTCTTTCCATTCTAGTGTGTAACTTCCCAAACGTCGACCAGGAATTGAGTTGAGCATCTGACACTTTTCAGCTGTATCCAGGCTTCTCTGATACATGTGTCACTTTTGATACACTTGTCTGCCCTGGTTAGAGCATGGTCTGAGTTGTTAGTTTTCCCACTGGAAATTCCAGTTGAGATACTCTGCACTTAACTAATGTTTTTATTGAATTTAAGTTTACATTTCTTTGAGACTGATGCAAGCACAATGCTTGACTTTTTTAAACAAAGATATCTTACTTTTGGGGGTTTGCAGGGGGGGAGGTACAGTTAAAAAACAACAACGTTCATTTGGGTTTTATCTTGGTCTTGAAACCCCCCACCTTGTGTTTTTTTCTGTAAAATGTGCTAAAAAGCTGCAGGATGTGCAGGTGCATTGAGAAGTTCTCTCCTTTTATGGGCCATTGATTTTGTGATCTCACAAAATAGAGCAGCATGATTTGGAACTGTTCAAAGCTGCATGCACGTTTTTTGGTTTTTTTTGTAATAAAAAGAAAAGAAAAACAGAAAAAAAGGAAAAGAAAAAAGAGAGAGAAAAAAAGAAACAATCAAAAAGAGATTATTTAATAATGTATGTTAGTTCCACATAGGCCAGGTTGTGTGTTGCATGTACTTGTACAGTTTGCTCGTAATTACTCTAATGAAGTAACCAAGAAATCTAAGCCATCCATTTTTTCTTATAGACATTTTGCAGGTTTTAGCCAGGCTGCCTGTCAGTCTGGTGCTAAATGTCTATAGATGGACTTTATTTTTTACCCTATGGAAAACGTGACGTAGTACGGACCAAATTCCTTCTAATAAATATTTTGGTGTAGATTCCTACTGTGGGGCTGTAACACATGTAGAAACTGTGTACACAATTAGGTTTTCCTTCATAGACATAACTGCCTGCACCAAGTGAACTATTTATTATGATGATGATTATTTAAACATTGCCAGAACTATTCTGCCCATGTTTCCATGGAGCATAGATTGGTTACTGCTCGACCTGCTGAGCAGGAAGAACTGAAGCACTGGTGCACTACTAGATTCTGTTCTGTCTTTTAGTGGCCAAATAAATAAACAAACTTAATTATAATTCGGTAGTACCTTTCTAGTTTGACCACTTGTCTTAACATTCCCCTGTGCTTTTAAAATGAACTTCCAACTCATGTTATGTAGACATGTTTAATAAAATTTCCTTTACATGTTCAGTGTAGTGGCTGTTTTGTGTTCAGGGGGGGATGGCCTGTGCCCTTCTTCACAGGAGATCGTTCTGTGCTAAAATAAAGAACTGTGAGAAGGGTGGGGTCTTGAAATTGCTCATCAGCGTTCAGCACTTGGACAGCAGAATGAGCAGGCACACAGCTCACCGAGTCACAGTTGTCTCCACAGTGTTTAAATTATAAATTTGCACAGTCTGTTAATGTAAATTAGTACACCCAAATTTAAATATGTCCTTTCTTGGTAATTAGGGCTGCCATATGTCCAGAATTTCCAGGGCATACTGGGATTCGTCAGTCAGAAATAGTGTTCGGGCAGAATTTCCAAAAATCTGTAGAAATGTCTGAGGAAACCCAGGCGTAGGGCAACCCATGTCGGAAGTGTTGGTTTTTTTGGTGAATTTCCTAAAAAAAAATAGCTCAACAACTTTTGTGTCCAGATTTTCACTTTTTGAAATATGGCAGCTCTATTGGTAATGCATTTCCTCTTGGGGGTATAGGAGTCACCCTATGTAGAACTGAATCCCATACCCTCCAACATTTCTCCAGTGAAAATAGGGACATCCTATTCTATTATTATTATTATTATTATTATTATTATTATCATCATCATCATCGATACCACACCTATCTGACTGAGTTGCCCCAGCCACTCTGGGCAGCTTCCAACATATATAGAAACATAGTAAAACATTTTTTAAAGCTTCCCTATACAGGGCTGCATGCAGATGTCATCTAAAGATTGTATACTTACTATCGCCTTAGCTCAGGGGATCGCATTACTCCATACCCTCCAACACTTCTCTGATGAAAATCAGGATGTCCTAAGGAAAAGAGACATTCTGATATCAAATAAGCAAATGGGAGAGCTTCTGAAAATCCAGGACTGTCCCTGGAAAAGAGAGACACTTGGAGGGTCTGGAATCCTGATACACAAAGTTGTGCATCCATTGCCATATCAAGCCTTGCTCCTGCCCACATACCCAGCCTGGGACTCCATTCCAAGGGAGAAGAGTGCAGAAGAGTGAGGTGGTGCCTCAAGACCCATAGGCTAGCCAAGCCACCTGTGCAAGGTGACCATACTACAAGGCTTCCTACAGATATAATGCATAGGAAACGAGGCTTCCACACATTGCAGTCTTTGTATCTATAGGCAAAGTAGTTCCATTAGCTCAAGGCTGCACAATAGAACTTTCCCTCCCTGTCCTCTTCCCCCCGTAATCTGTTCTGGGAGTTCACCCAACCATCTAGAACAAATTTCGGGAGGGTGTGGGGGTGCACAGGAAGTATCAAGGAAAGGGCAGCTCCTTTGTGCAAATGAAAATCCTTACACTGTCAGAAGCACTTGGCGAATTCCCCGTGCCACCTTTTTTCTGACTGTGCCCCCTCTCTCTCTGTCTGCCCTTCCCCACAAGTGTTTGCCACTCCTCTCCCACTCGCATAATGAGGAGAGGCTCACAGACTGCTTGCAAGACATCAGCAAGACATGGGTGTGCACATACACAAACACATTTGTTCTGCTCTGGGAAAATGGCTGAGGCTGCAGTCTGAAGAAAAAATGTGTATCAGTAGAAGCAAGAGAAAGCAAAGTGAGACCATGGATGTCAGGCAGCTTATAGTAAAGCAGGGAGATAAGCAACAGAGATGATTCCTCAGCTTAAGAAACATTTGCCGGAGAAACGGGACCCTCGGAACTGGGTTATTAACCAGGAAGCTTATCCTTTTTTCCCTGCACTAGGCTGGCTGATAAGAGGACAGAATAATCTTGCAAAGTGAATATGTTTACAGTGGTACCTCAGGTTACACATGCTTCAGGTTACAGACTCCGCTAACCCAGAAATAGTGCTTCAGGTTAAGAACTTTGCTTCAGGATGAGAACAGAAATCATGCTCTGGTGGCGCAGCGGCAGCAGGAGGCCCCATTAGCTAAAGTGGTGTTTCAGGTTAAGAACAGTTTCAGGTTAAGTACGGACCTCCGGAACGAATTAAGTACTTAACCTGAGGTACCACTGTAGTTAGGCCAACACACCTATTCCTCTGAACAGCCATCCTGGAGCAGGCACCAGCAACTTTCAGGCCTTCTTACTTATTTAAATCTATCTTTTGCATTTCTTTCAAAGAGCCCACCCCCCAACTCCTCCAATAGAGAACTGGTGCAAAGGTCACAGCTGTTGGTCTACCTGTGGAATGAATGGCTCTGTGTAACGGGAAAGGGGGCTTGCAAGAGCTTTCCTCCGGGAAAGCCTGCATTCAACTCTTGCCTTTCCTTATGTGTCATTGTAAGAATTAATCAGAAAAGGTACAAGTATTGTTGTTAGGAATACAGGGATCTATTGGTCCATCTAGCACAAGGCTTTATTGTGGTTCTGACTGGAAGCAGTTTTCAAGGAGCTTGGGGAAAAAGGTATTTCAATTTCTGTACCCCTCATCCTTTGAGTTGGATGTGATGAGTTCTGAACTCGGTGTCTTTTGCATGCACTGAGCTATGGCTACTCCCTCCCCTTTTTAAGTGCGTTTGTGTGGGCATGTAACATTGGACCCCTGCCTTCGTTACTGCCAGGTGCATCATTCATAATGGTTTGCGTCTTTCAGTGGCGCAACATGCTAATGCTGGGATTTACTGTTCCATCAGAGAAGTGTTACCCCTAATAACAGTCTGGTTCTCATGACACGGCCTGATAAGATGTCTGGATTTGCAACATCCACTGCACAAACTGAAGCAGGATCCTGACAGCCCGTTTCCTCCTCTTATCCCCTCCTCAACTCTGTCCTTTCTGTGCCCTCTTGCTCATCAGCCTCATATCATTTATTATCCACTGCTACTTGTGCAACTGATGGATAATATTGCAGAACGAAATCCTTTTTAAACATACACACACAAACCCCTCTCTAGCTGAGAGTTTGAAAGGTCTTTTCCTGTTGGCCCTGTCTGATCTGAATTCTCTGCTTCTAAAATGAGAGGTTCTGGGACTAATAATTGCCATGCATTCCATCCCCATTCTTAGAAGTGAGGTCTTGCTTCGTGGCTCTGTGCCAGAGACATCACCTCTCTATGGTTGCTATAGTACGCAATATTCCATTCCAAATATTACAAATATTGGTGTAAGGGACTATTGCTCAGTGCTAGAGCATATCCTTTACATATGGATTCAGTCCCTGGCTTTTCTTTTCTTTTCTTTTTTTCTTTTCTTAAATTATATTAGGATTTATAAAGAGAAATACAAAGCTTAATATCATGTATCTTTTTTTGTCCATAACTAAAAAAAATTGATCTAAATCCCTGGCATTTCCAGGTAGACTCAGGTGTGTTTCCTGCCTGAAACTCTGCATGTGGCACTTATAAATTATGTGATGCAAAGGACTTTTGAGTCTAGCATCCATGCTCAACAGCTGAAAACCACTGGATTGAGTTAGATCAGAATCATGCTTAAAAATGTCCATTTGCACGTTTTGTTTTATTTTTATTTTCTTAACTGCCCTTCAGCAAAAGATTCCAGGGTGATGTACAAAAATGTGAATAAAATTTATCTCTCATCCCAGCTATGGTCTCTCTCTCTCTCTCTCTCTCTCTCTCTCTCTCTCTCTCTCTCTCTCTCTCTCTCACACACACACACACACACACACACGTATGAGTCCAAGTGGAATTGGGGCAATTTCGTATAAATCAGGCTTCCTCAAACTCAGCGCTCCAGATGTTTTTGGCCTACAA